GCCACTGTTCCTCGAAATTCCGTTATGGCGTCGTCACTCGTTCTCATGGTGAGTGCCTTGATTTCATGCGTCGTGTTGTTGGAGGACACGATGGGTGGGAAACTGCTGATTTGCATCAGTGGTCTAGATATTGTGATTCGCGTGCTTGACCCAACAGATGTGCGGGGGTTTAATGTGCGCCGGAATCAGTAACCTCAGAGTTTGGGTTTGTTTTAGGTTTCCTGCTACGGTTAGCATTACTCCATGTATAAATAGGAAATTGACAAAAATGATCAGACATATTCACATACATCTTTCATGAGATGTGCGCGTTATTTGTCAATGTTCGAGCATCTGAATCTTTCAATTTTTCTGTACATTTGCGTCTTACGGTTCATATTCGTCGCCAAAAATCCAGCGACCAAGACTAACTTTGTTTTTTCAAGTAAATTTTTTTCTCACCATTTTTGAGAAAAAATAGTTTCAAATCTATCGAAATGTCGCCATTGAGCATTTCGTCGCAAAGATAAGAATGAATATAATTTTCAGATTACATTACATTCCTATGATATCAAATATTTTACTTGCTTTCCTTTCTGCACTTTAATGTATTTATTTGCAGACGTGACGTACATAAAGCTGAAGAGACCAAAAAACTTCAACTTTCGAAGTGGCCAATGGGTCCGTCTCCGATGTCCTGCTTTCAATCACAAAATGAATGAATGGCATGCATTTTCCCTGGCATCCACTCCTCGTGATCGCGTACTGAAAATCTTCGTGAAAGCTTTAGGTCCTTGGACCTGGAAACTTCGAAATGGCATTCAACAAGCGCAGAAATTTGGTCTTCCTTATCCCACGGTATTTTGCTTTTGTTTAATGATTGTTTCATTGCAATTCATGCGTCAAAAGCATTGATGACTCTTAGATGTCTTCCACGTTTAAAAAATTTTAAAAGTCTACGTTTAACAGCAACATGGTCAGATTTTACGCATTATACGGCTGAACTTAAACTGGAAGTAAACTCTCACTGGAACTAAATGCTATTTTATGATGCTTTAACACTATGCAAGGGGCAGTTTATTCCGTTTCCTTGCTGTTTCATGAATCGCTTCTTTGGCTGTCAGCTTGATGTCTTTAATGGATAGAACAGTTTATCAATTAGCGTGCGCAATGCGGTTGCGCAATAGAGAAACCTGTCTTTGGATTGCGCTGATTCGTTATCATTAGAAAGTCATAGGCTTCAAAGATTTATCTTTTGTTCAAGGGCATAAACTGTTTTGAATGGATTCTAAGGCATGAATATGGCAAGTCCTCTTTATGGAATATATGATTTATGCGTTGGTAGTTCTCAAAAATATTTCTTAATGCCATATCGGATATAATGGCCTATTGGGTGATAGACTGATAATGAAGTTTCTGCCAATATTTCAGGGCTTTCAAGTTAAGGTGGTCGGTGGGATTTTTGTAATTATAGATCTGTTTCTGTTAACTTATCATCCATCTTACCCATAAGAACGGCTATGAGATACGAACTAGGACGTCGGTGTTTATCTACCCCAAATGACCCTTTATGTTCCGGTGTGTATTAATAATCCATTTTGTCTTGTTTTTTCAAGTACTCTAGATACTCAAACCATGTAGTTTCAATGTTAGTGAATTGTCAGGCAATGTTTTAGAGCTGCATTTGTGACATCTTTACTACCTGTAAAACTTACTCCAGTTAAGACTTGTCGGCTTCGTAAAGAAATCCGTCGTTAACCGAAATCTCAAATAGCTGTTTACCAAACTTCATCGCATAAACAACCCATCTTTGAAACTTCATATATGACACTTTTTAATTGTTATTCACAATTATGGCTACGGGTAAGAATAGGATTCTGAGTTGACAAGAATACATATAGATTCATACTATTGATCAGTTCGGATGTTATAATTACATCAGCTTTGCTCTTACTAGGTATATTTTGGTATTTGTTGTTTTCACTGACTACCTATGCTGAATGCTTCTATGATAAAATCGACTTGCCTGCATTTGATGTTAATGGTTTTTAGAGGGTATTATCATGACGGGCAGGTGTACGTACATACATACATACATACATACATACATACATACATACATACATACATAC